CTATTACTTATCAACCTAATATACATTATTATATCACATCTCTCATTACATGTTCTTTGTTTTCTGAATGATACAATAGAATACAATTTTATATTATTTTATTTATTTTGTAGATTTTGTATGAATAAGAAGAAATAAAATTATTGTTAATTTCCTAATAGTAGTAATAACATCATTTTTAATGTTTGAATCATGAATTTTAATATCAATGTGAATATAGTTCTTAAATATTTCAATTCTTTTTTCATATTCTATTTCTTTTAGAACCATCAATTCTGATGCAAACATTTCTTTTTGTATAATTCTTAATTTTACTTGTTCATACCAATTTATTGATTTACAAACATTCATCATCATTTCTATAATTCTTCTTAACAAACCATTTAATTTATTCAAATCAATAATTATTGATTCAATATTTTGTGAATATAATAATTTTGATGATAAAATAAGTATTTCATCAATAACATCATTGTTAATATAACCATTATAATGATTAATAATAACATTCATTATGTCTTTAATTTCATTTTGATCATCTTTCAAATTAATTTGATTAAAAACACATTTATTAATAATAAATAATAAATTTATTGATATATTCTCAAAAATTTATTCAATCATTCACAGATTTATAGATTGGAATCAAAATAAGCGAATAAATAATACACATAAATAAAAATCATAAAAATAAAAAGAATAAAATAAATTATATCAATAAAATATTGTTAAATAATTTACATCAATAAATTAAACACTTTTTGTTGCATATTTCTAATTTCTATAATAAAAAGCATCCATTATTTCATCTTTATTTTCATCTTTTATATCTCATTTTGAATTATTCCTTTTTATCTTCTTTCATTTTATATTCTCAACATTCTACTTTTATTCTTTTATCTTCTTCTACTTCATAATTTCGCTTTTTTCTTTCATATCATTCTTTCTTTTCATTTTTCTCTTATTTGCTTTTTTTCTTTGCCGTGAATATTTGTATCTTGTTTTGATGTTTATTTTATTTGTTTATTATTTTGTTTATTATCATATTAATATTTTATTTTAATGATTGAATATTATTTATTAATGAATTAAATATCATGATTATTTATCATTATCATATTTATATATTATTTATATTTATCATATTCTTTATTTTAGAGTTATTTATATGAAAATATCAATTCATTTTATATTTCTTTGTTTTAAATTTCAATAATTTATTATTTATCTCTTTATTGTTCATTGTTGTAATACATCATTTTTCTGTTTATTTCTTATCATCAATTTCTCTTTTTGTTAGTTTCTTGATATTCTCATTCTGCTCATTATTCATTTCTTCCATTCGTTTCAGATATGTGCAATATTCTGTATATTCATTTTC